TGTATCTGGGTGTGACTGATGGTGATTGAACCTAGACCTTAGCCGTCGGCAGCAGCCCGAGCGTCGACACCGCTGCAACTTGAGGGGGCCTTTCGAGGTTATCCACAGTCACTTTCTGGTTCACCACGATGACAGTCACTTAACTCTATCGTACTATTAACTAGCTTACAGAAGCCACTAACTATCGCGGGGTATAAGGTTACCGCACAAAACACGCCCGGAGTTTCTGGGTCAAAGGTCACTACCGTTTCGCGTAGCAATAGTTAATTCTAGAATACAGAGGCCGCACTAACTAATATTGTCGAATGCACTATACAGATTCTGAGTCAGACTCAATAAGTCCTGGGGAAGCTCTCCAGTAGGGATACGCGCCACAAAATTCCTAGACCGTATTTTTACTGTCCGCGCTTAACTATTCCAAGTTCCCGCGCTTAATTGGCAGCGTGCCAATTGTTAGCACACCTGACAGACGACTGACTGCCCTTGGGCGTTTTTCGCACGACCGAAAGTCAAACCGGTATCGCGCCGAGCCGAGTGACATCTCGCGTCAATCCTTGAAAGTGTTTGGCGCGAACAAACCCCCGTCCCGGACATAAGGATTTAGGTCCGCGAGCAAACCGGTCAGCGGGACAAGGTCGCGAAGGCAAGTTGCAAGACCGAATCTACAACCAAACTAGGCCACCTTAGGCATCCCATCAGATCTTGCAACCCTAACCAGCGCCTCAAAAAATAGCCCTAATGTGGCAAGCCGGTGGGTCAGTCTCCACTGGATGCCCCTCCTGGGCATTGCAGCACTTTAACAAGTCCTGTACTGGACAGAAGTCCGACGACCTCTTTCAAACACCTATCTGTGCCCCTATGATTAGTTCCGCAATCCGACCGGATCAGCTCTGCAAACAGTGACGCGACACGAAGCGGCCTCGAGCGGCCTCCTAAGCTTCAGTGCAGAGAGCACCCACAAATTCCACATGAACGTCGTCTGTGGAGAGCCGAACGAAACGCACAGATAGTCCCTAGTATGAATTTTCAACAAGTAGGCCTAGCCAGGCCACCCACCCTATTATCATTTACTAAAATAGTGCGGCAGCTGATTTCAATCCTATGAAGAAGAAGAAGAAGCCCTATGCTCATATTTCAACTAATTTTTCAAAAGCATCAATGTGCAACTACAGAATTAATTCAACCAAATTAATCACCGATGCGCATAGGTCAACTTGCAAATTAAACAAAACAATAACGTAAGGGACAGCCCTACTTCTTCGCAAAGCAAAATGATTAAACACTATCATAAACATAAACATAATTTTTCAAATAGTGCGCCATTCCATTTCAGATGAATTCAAATTTTCCTTTCAGCAAACAGACGCAACAATCAAATACAGTGATTAAATATATTTACAAAACACATGCAGTAGCATTTAAAGGAGTAGATTAAATTCAATTCTTTTAATTTAAACCGCTACAAATAGGAAAATTTCGCGGAAAGCCCAAACCATTTTTTAATTTTAATTCAAGTATTTTTTGACTAAGTGCTCGACCAAACCAAATCTAATACCCCTTGACAGCGTGATTCAACGCTCCAGATGGGCCCTAATCTTCCCACCACCAAGGGGAGGCCACATGGCGTGAACCCGAGATCGCTAACAATCGCCACTCGGGTTGTACGCCTTCACTGAGGCCGTCGGCAACAGAACATTTTGACAAGTGGACTGTTGACGGATTAAGGCTCAGTGGAGGCAGCCGTGGTGGGAGCTAAGGCGGCAGCTAGACAGGGCCGCCTCCATCAAATGGGGAACAGTGGTACACCAGTCGTGGCCACTCAGCTAACGGGAGTGAGAAGGGTCCAGCGGACCGATGAGTGGCCGTGAAGTTCCTCTCCACACGCTGAGGGGGGGTGATGACACCCCCGCCCCTGGGGGAATTACCCCCCGACTGGTCGGGGGAGGGGCCCCTTTCAAACTTAGGGGCCTGATGGCTGGCCGGCGGGCGCCGAGAGTCGCCCGGCAGAGGGCGTGGCTGAGCGCCCCCGCCCGTGGGGGTCGAGGGCCTGGCAGAGCCCCGAGAGGAGACGCCGTTCGCACTCAGGCACAAAACGGCATGATGATTGCCCTGGCAATGCAGACAGGGCCGTCGATGCGGACAGTCTCGCTGGAGGTGCCCTCCCAGATATGACCAGCACCAGCGGCGCTCCTTGGCGATAGTTCGCCTCGCTGGAACCGGCTTACCTAATAATTTCGGGCACGACGTTACCCGATGATCAGATGCTCGACAATAAGAGCAGGGGGGGGTTGACGACGACTTGCCTGGAGGATTCAGCCTCTCACTGGGCACGTCTCGCAAGTCGTCAACGGTGCCCGCCGCGTTCTCGATCTGCCGGCACTGCTCCTCCAAAAACCGCAGCAGGTCATAGAAGGGCGGAATATAGGAGGCCTCGTCCCCGCCGTACCTCTCCTCAAAATGGATTCGCAGGTCGAGAGGTAGACGGGACAGCACGATGCGGAGCAACAAAAAAGCCCATTCGCCCACTGGTAAACCCAGCCGCCTCAATGTATTACAGGCCACCAAGACTGGATCCAACAGGTCCGGACGCAGTCTGGCCCGGTCACTAAGCAGCGGGAGGCTTAGAAGCTGCTTAACATGCTCGTCTGCAATTCGCCGGACGTTGGCGTATCTTCTGGCTAGGAGGTCCCGAGCAGTCTGGTAGGCGTCGTCCGACAATCTCAAGTGGCCGACGACGCCCAGGGCCTCCCCCTCCAGTGAGGCCAGGAGGTACGCCATCTTTAGGCTCGGGGTCAGGTCACTCCGGGCGTCCACTAGGCTGTCGAAAAGACCAACGAAGGTCAGCCATTCGGAATGGACCCCGGAGAACTTTGGCAGGTCCAGAGTTGGGAGTCGTCCCAACAGCTCCGGCTGAAGCTGCTTCAAAGAGGACTTGGATAGGTTACTCATCCGAGCTTCACGCGCCTCCTCGGCATACCTGCCTTCAGCCTCGATCAACTCGTCCGTGAGCCACAAGAACTGCTCATAGTCCGCGAAGCAGGAGTCCAGGACTCCCTTCTCCACATCCGAATCCTCGAGCTCAGCGTAAGCCTCCTCCACTACGGCCCTTCGAGCATCCACCTGCTCGAACCGCTTCATCAAGTTATGGACCCTATCCGGTCGACCTATCAAAGCATGGGCGCTTGTGGCCCAGCGTAGCTCAGTCCGCAAACAACGGATCAGTAGCTTGGGCGATGTCATCACTATTAAATGCCAATTACGACACGGCTTGAGCACGGATTACAAAGATAACAAACAAAAAATACAACAAAAATTAACAGTTAATAAATGCAGTTCCTATCAAATCGCGTTGAATAGGAATTACACAAATACGAATTACTACGTATCAACCAAATACAAGTTAGCACAAAAGAAAAGACACAAATCAAATTAACAAATAACAAATACTAGTGCGATCAAATCAAGTTAAATTCAAATGGCGCAAATACAATTACTACACTTTAGTTCAAATACAACTTACAGTATAAACGAAGATACACATCACGGTCGATCAACAAAAAATGCCTAGCTCGGAAATCGACCCTTCGATAAGTAATCCACTACAACTATCCGACAACGATAATTAACCGATTACGTAAAAATAACCATCTACCTACATGACGTATATCTCTAGAAAACTCCCGCTTGCGCAACCTAGGGCGCGGCTTTTCAAATCTACCCGCTAACCAAAAAAAAAGGCAAGCAACAAAGAACAAAGGGAAATAATTCTATTATTACGCACAAAAAAATATTTTTACGTATTACGGACGGGCGTGATTGTAGATACAAATTAAACCAATCAAACCAACGCTCCCTGCCACCAGAATTGTTTAATGTTTATCAAACACTATGGTCGGGATCGACCGGGAATCGAACCCGGAACCGCGCTCTGCTACCAGTTTGTTACGGCCTACGGCTGCTCCCTTAAAGGATCCAATCTTCAGGGGCCCATGAGCTGAAGACCTTCCGAACAGACGTAGGTCGGGCCTCCTAAGGCCACGTGGAAATTCCTAATTACATTAAATATATGGGGGAGCGTTATACTACGGCCAGTCGACCGGAAGAAATTTGGCGGAGTTCACTTACCTCTATCCAAGGCGACTGGTCCCTCCGGAGTCGGTCAGGTCACATGTGGTTGTGTATCTGGGTGTGACTGATGGTGATTGAACCTAGACCTTAGCCGTCGGCAGCAGCCCGAGCGTCGACACCGCTCCAACTTGAGGGGGCCTTTCGAGGTTATCCACAGTCACTTTCTGGTTCACCACGATGACAGTCACTTAACTCTATCGTACTATTAACTAGCTTACAGAAGCCACTAACTATCGCGGGGTATAAGGTTACCGCACAAAACACGCCCGGAGTTTCTGGGTCAAAGGTCACTACCGTTTCGCGTAGCAATAGTTAATTCTAGAATACAGAGGCCGCACTAACTAATATTGTCGAATGCACTATACAGATTCTGAGTCGGACTCAATAAGTCCTGGGGAAGCTCTCCAGTAGGGATACGCGCCACAAAATTCCTAGACCGTATTTTTACTGTCCGCGCTTAATTATTCCGAGTTCCCGCGCTTAATTGGCAGCGTGCCAATTGTTAGCACACCTGACCGACGACTGACTGCCCTTGGGCGTTTTTCGCACGACCGAAAGTCAAACCGGTATCGCGCCGAGCCGAGTGACATCTCGCGTCAATCCTTGAAAGTGTTTGGCGCGAACAACTATCATAGAAACTTGAAATTCCAGGTACACTCCTAAGTTTGATTATAGTTTCCGCTAATCGCTGCTAAGTTCAGTACCCGCGCAGGCGTCGTGAGATACGGAAGGTTATTTTGTGCGTAGGCTTTGAAAAACCCCACGCGACTAACCGCGTAAGTAAAAAGTGATTGGAACTTATTTTTTTATTTACTTGTAGCACATGATGTTTTGATGATTTTTGTGTTGTTTTAGGCGTTTTAGTTACTATAATGGACGGTCGACAACAAGAACGCATATTGCACTGGTTGGAGGAGGAGGAAGAGGAGATTCTTGGTGGAGAGTATGATGAAGATGGAAATCATATATACCCGGACGAAACAAGCGAACACAACACGGATTCAGAGCAAGAATGTGATGATGGTGATCCAGAAACCCAGGATCATGTGTCAGAATCGTCCGAAGACCAACAAATGGATGTAGATAGTTCGGATAGTGATGATAATGAGCCATTGATCCACATGTCATCACATAACTTTTATTTTGTCAAAAAAAAGATAAAAGTGGCCACTATAAAACAATTTGCAAATGGAGGAAGACACCGTATACACAGGGTATCAGAACAAGGAGACAGAATATAGTTACAGAGCAACCAGGCCCACAGGGTACAGCTCGGGCGGTGAGTAACCCCTTTGAATCTTGGCTTTTGTTTTTGGACGTTGATATGTTGCAGCATATTGTGGAGTGCACGAATATAAAGATAGCATCTATGCAGACAAATTACGAGAGGCAGCGTGACTGTGAGGAGACCAATATCATTGAGCTAAAAGCGTTGATTGGTATTATGTATCTAATTGGTATTCATAAATCGTCACATGCTTTGATTGATGATATTTGGATGGCTGATGGTACGGGGTTAGATAAATGCCGTGCTAGTATGTCCAAGCAACGTTTTCGTTTTTTATTAAGAGTCCTCCGATTCGATAATATTCATACACGGGAACAACGCAAAGCCGTTGACAAACTGGCGCCAATAAGAGAGATATTTGAGCAATTTGTAAAAAATTGCCAGATAAATTACAAGAACACTGAATATGTTACTATAGATGAAATGTTGGAGAGCTTTAGAGGCTCGTGTGGATTTCGCCAATATATGCCAAGCAAACCAGCTAAATATGGCATAAAGTTGTTTTCTCTAGTGGATGCCATGACATTCTACACAAAAAACTTAGAAATATATGTCGGAAAACAGCCAGAAGGTCCCTACTTTCAAGATACTTCAACAAAAGCTCTTGTCAAACGAATGATTGAACCAATATCAGGTACAGGACGAAATGTGACTATGGATAACTGGTTTACTAGTGTTCCATTAGCTGAGGACCTATTGACAAATCATAATTTGACAGTAGTGGGTACATTGAGAAAAAATAAACCAGAAATTCCAAGTGAATTCAAGCGAAAAGGCTTGCAAGTACATTCCACAGCGTTTGGATATAAACCGACAGAGACTTTGCTCTCATACTGCCCAAAAAAGGATAAAACAGTGTTACTACTTTCAACTATGCACAATGAGGGTATAATAGATGAGACATCCGAGAAAAAGATTCCAGAAATCATAATTTTTTATAATAAAACGAAAGGTGGAGTGGACGTGGTGGACAAACTTATCGGAACTTACACTGTTGCACGCGTTTGCTACCGATGGCCGTTGAGGTTGTTCTTTACAATGCTCGATGTTGGAGCGGTAAATGCCCACATAATATTGAATACCGTAAATCCTAACAACCGAATAGGTCGCAAGTTATTCTTGAAAACGCTAGCATTCGAACTATGTCGTCCTCAGTTGGAATCGCGGGCCACTATATCAACTTTGCCACGCGAATTGAAACAGCTTATTCTGCGATTCGTACCTCGTCCCGTGGATGTTCCTCACGAAGATACTGGTTTCGTACCTACGAGGAAACGACTGCACCAGGGGAACAGATAGAAAATTTAAAACTATCTGCCACTTTTGTAAGGGAAATATATGTCCAATACATTCAAAATCAGTATGTACTGACTGTGTTCAAACGGAAAATTAGTGTGAATTTGAAACGCAAAAGTATATTTTTTTTTGTTGGATCTACTTACATTTCTTTTTATATTGTTAAATAATGCCTTAAAATACCAAAAAAAAAGGTTAACACGATTGTTTTTTTTATTACAAGAAATAATTTTTTTTTCTCTAAGTCATGTAAAACACTAAAAATTTTGTTCCTATTTTCTAATTTTAAGTTTCAAGGAGTTAATAAACATTTATTTTCTAATAAATTATAGTCTTTTTATTCAAGTAATATATATAAACAATTATATGATAAAATAAATAAGAAAATAATAATTGTAAGATGTTTTCTACGCTGTTAAATTGTGGTGTCCTTAAAGACCCCACGCGACCAACCGCGTAAGTTTAAAAGCGCGACCAACCGAGGGTTAATCACTGTATTTGATTGTTGCGTCTGTTTGCTGAAAGGAAAGTTTGAATTCATTTGAAATTGAATGTCGCGCTATTTGGAAAATTGTGTATATGTTTTGTGATAGTGTTTAGTCATCTTGCTTTGTGAAAATGAAGGCTGAAATTAGATAACCCTATTTGTGCCGAAAGGAATAAGTCGTTCCTCCGTTGGTTTTCGCATTTGTAGGCACTGTCTAAGATACTTATTTGAAATGAGAAATAGGGCTGTCTCTTGCGTTTATTGTTTTGTTTAATTGTTAAGTTGACCTATGTGCATCGGTGAGTAATTTGGTTGAATTGATTCTGTAGTTGAACATTGATGCTTTGAAAACTTTGTTGAAATCTGAGCATAGGACTGCTTGTCTAACAGGCTAGCTAGTTTTGGAGATTGTCAGATTGAAATCAGCTGCCGTACTATTTTAGTAAATGATAATATGGTGGGTGGCCTGGCTAGGCTTATTTGTTGAAAATTCATACTAGGGACTATCTGTGCGTTTCGTTCGGCTCTCCACAGACGATGTTCATGTAGAATTTGTGGGTGCTCTCTGCACTGAAGCTTAGGAGGCCGCTCTGGGCCGCTTCGTGTCGCGTCGCTGTTTGCAGACCCGATCCGGTCGGATTGCGGAACTAATCGTAGGGGCACAGATAGGTGTTTGAAAGAGGTCGTCTGTTGCAAAATCAGATGGGGTACCTAAGGTAGCCTAGTTTGGTTGTAGATTCGGTCTTGCAACTTGCCGTCGCGACCATGTCCCGCTGACCGGTTTGCTCGCGGACCTAAATCCTTATGTCCGGGACGGGGGTTTGTTTACGCCCGAACGCTGATTTCGGGATTGACGTTAGAGGGCGCGCGGCTCGGCGATACCGGTTTGACGTTCGGTCATGCGTAGAACGCGCGAGGGCAAATAGGAGTCGTCTGCTAGCTGTGCTAATGTCTGCACGCTGTCAATTTTTGTTAGGGAACTCGGAATAATTAGGCGCGGCCCGTAAATAAACGGTCTAGGATTTGTGACGCGTATTCCTAGCTGGAGAGCTTCCCAGGGACTTATTGGATCCGACTCAAAATCTGTATAAGTGCATTCGACGATATTAGCTAGTGCGGCCTTTGATATTCTAGAATTAACTGTTGCTACGCGAAACGGTAGTGACCTTTGATCCGGATACTCCCTGTTCATTTTGTGTGTTAGGCTTTATAACAAACGAGAGTTAGTGGCTTCTGTAAGTTAGTTAATCGTAAGATAGAGTTAATTGACTGTCATCGTGACGAACGAGGAAACTGACTGTGGTCCGGCGCCGAAGCAGTCTGAAGCGGTGCAGCATTTTGGAGCAGCCTGGAACTCGACCGCGGCTGGTCTCCTATGCTTGACAAGGCCCCACACATTCACACCTCACTGTACACTACTCGCCATCCACTATTACACACACTCACGGCCGGCCCAAGCCTTGGTGCGAAGTTAGCTTCGGATAATGGTAAGTACTATGGGTTTCTAGCGTCCTCCCATATTGTTTATTGTAATTAGAGATTTTCCACTTTGGCCTGGAGGAGGCCCGACCTAAGTCTGCTCGTCGAAACTCAGCTGAATGGGCCCCTGATGATTTGACCTTTAAGGGAGCAGCCGTAGGCCGTAACAGTTACTGTTATTAATTTTTAATATGTCTAACTGTTCCAGCACACACATTGGCAGCCCTTTATTACACGTATGTAAGACTTTAAAGGAGTGGTCGTTGGCTAGGTTGTGTCCAGTGTCCAAAAGAAACCATTTTGCTAAACATGATCGGCGATTGGTTGCGTGGTTGGAGAGTATCGGGCGTTGCGCGGCGGTTTGTTTTTAATTATACAAACGGCTGCGTAAGTCCGGCGGTGATTGGTCGTATGTTTTATCGCATGACGCAGTTGCTTGCTTCTTAAGCAGGGAGTGGTTGCGTCAGTGGTCTGTATAAAAGGCAGTTGTTTTGTCTCGCCGCTCACCACCGGTTAGCCACCGTAGAGTCTATATCACCTGAGGATGCCTCGTGTAGAGGCGAAACACGTATCGTATTGTCGTCAGTGGTATGTCTTTCCTAGTGTATTGGTGTTGGGAGTAGTGCTGCTGGGATTAGTGGTGACGGGGATAATGCACGCAATTAAGGGAGGGCGGGAGGTGCTCGTAAAACTAGATAAGACACATCATTTTATTTTATCTAGCGGAAGTACGCAAAGTCATATTTTGTCAATTTTAACAGGCATTAAGGTCTCTTTATAGGGACTCTAGTGCTTGTGTCAGGATCAATGGGATCTACTTGGACCGGTTTGGTATTTAAAGGTGTTAGACAGGGCTGTGTAGCTTCCTCGTGGCTGTTTAACCTATTTATGGTCAGTTGTTTACAAACTTTGAAATTTGAAGAATGAGGGTTGAGAATGAGTGAGTTAACCGTCAAATACCTTTTGTAAGCCGATGATCAAGTCATATTTGCATCGTCCTCGGCTGAATTGCAAACGATGGTGTAAAAAGTGTTGAGGATGAGCAGGGAAACTCCTTGCTTCGATTTTGGTATCGTTTATTCTGCTGTCCATAGACGAATACAAGTAAGTTCTAGAACACTGTTCTCTCTATAATACAATAATAGATGCCCTCTAGTGGCAACAAGTTAAACTAGGTACTTACATTACAGTTGTCAGTAAAGCGCCATCTGTTCGAAACGAGTGGGACCACAAGAAAAAGCCACTTGGCTCGTACAGATGTGTAATAAGGAAATATGTTGTTAGTAGTTGGTTTCAGCCTCCAACAGATGGAACAACCAACTACTAACATTCTGCCAGCCAGCATAAATCTAACTCAAGTAAGCTGATACATTATGAACAAGCTAAATGGCAGCATGTTAGGCTAAAAGGTAAACTAACTTTAACCCATTAGAGGCCAGCCCCAAAACTATAAACAACAATCGCGGACTTGAACCGCGAATCAAACCAGAGCAGAAATAAATAAGGAAAAGAAACCAGATAGGTAAACGTTTGCCAAAGCTACATTATTGATTAAATTTAACAAAATGTAATGCGACTGCTAATGGGTTAAGCTTAGATTGAACAGAACAAAACAATTAAAAAATACAGAAATCTAAAACGCTAGGTAGTTAGGCTAATTAATTTACTTAACATCAAATTCAACTCAAGTTAAATGCCTATCTGAAGTACTAGGTATCTTTTTATTAACATTATACTTAATCTATATTAATTGGTAGTGGACATAGATGTACATATGATCTTTTTATTTCGCCTTTGGAAGTTAACACTGTCGCGACTCTAGCAACACTATCACGTCCGTCATGGGTTTGTATGATTCGTCCCAGCTTCCACTGGCAGGGAGGGAGACGGTCATCCTTCACCACCACCATCGTGCCCACGGAGAGAGCTGCGCCCTTCGAGCTCCGCCACTTGGTACGTTGTTGTAGGATCCCGATGTAGTCGCGAGACCATCTTCGCCAGAAGTCCTGTTGAAGCTGCTGTAGCTGCTGGAACAGCGTGAGCCTGTGGGCGGGAACATCCTTGTACTCATAGTCGGGAACGGTGGTTATAGCCCTACCTATCAAGAAGTGAGCTGGTGTTAATGCGGAAAAATCATTAATATCTGTATTAGACAAGGGACACAATGGTCGTGAATTTAAAATTCCTTCCACCTGTATAAGTACTGTTACAAATTCTTCATAAGTCAGAAGTGCTGCAGCCAAAACTCTTTTTAGAAAATATTTACAACTTTTTACAGCAGCTTCGTATATCCCGCCCATGTGCGGTGTGTAGACCGGTAAAAAGCTCCATTTGATGCCGTCGTTACTAAGTGAGGTCATAATTTCGTCTGAACTGTCTCTTAAAAATTGGTAGATTTCATTTATCTGGTTGCTAGCGCCCTGGAATGTGGTACCATTGTCACTTACCATTTGCTGTGGTTTACCTCTACGGGAGACGAACCTTCGGAAGGCAGCTAAAAACGACTGGGTGTCAAGACCTGTAACCAACTCAATATGAATTGCCTTGGTAGCAAAACAAACAAACAATGCGACATACGCCTTGTAAGTCCTGGCCCCACGTCCTCTCCAGGTCTTCAAATTAAATGGCCCTGCATAATCTACCCCTGTTGTTGAAAACGGAAGGGAGGGGGTAACGCGAGATGCGGGCAGTTCACCCATAATTGGGGCGCTAGGCCTGGGCTTGGCCCTAAAGCACGTGACGCATTCGCGTGTCACCTTATTTACTAAACTCTTACCATGGATAGGCCAGTAGCGTTCGCGAATCGATGCCAGAAGTAACTGCGGCCCAGCATGCATGAGCTTTATGTGGTATGACTGAACTATAAGCTTGGTAAGTATGTGTCGGTTATGTAACAATATAGGATGTTTCTTATCGTGAGAATATGGAGAATTTTCAATGCGTCCACCCACTCGTAGTAGACCATTTTCCATATAAGGTTTTAGGCATAATATATTTGACGTCTGTGGCAGTGGTTTGTCTTTCTTTAATGTGAGAT